TAATGGCTGTACTAAGTTACATTCCCACTGACAATGTGCAAGGGTTCCGTTTTCCAGATATCTTCACCAGTGCTTGTTATCTGTGGGTCTTTATTTCTGTGTAATTCTGGCTATCACTCTTCTTGCATGGGGTATATTTTTATTATTTTTAGGTAAATGATAGTAGCAGCAAGTATCAGCCAAATGAAGACTCAACTGTTTTGGGGATTTATACTCCCTTTCAATCTCCTTCTATTAAGAATTAAATGAGACTCAAAGTCCCTGCGCCCCCCAATATATTTTTTTAAAGTCTTGCCAAAGTAAGCAGAATAGACCCTTTCTTAATATAGTGATTTGGTCTCTTCTTACAAAACTGCTAATAAACTAACTACCTTCATGATCTCAAAAGATGGAGATTCTACACTTCTATGTGTAGCATGCTGCAGTGGTTAATAAACCTTAAATTCTAGACATTGTTCCTCATGTATAATCTAAATGTCTCTTGCAGAATTTTATTTTCTTCTTCATGGAATTTTTGTGGGTGTGTTTGGTGGGGGGTGGTGCACAAGCTCTTAAAGCTATTCCTTCATATTCTTGAAAATAGTTGTCAGTTACTTCCAAGTCCTTGTAATCTTTCCTTATAGATGTCATCTGACTACTCCTTATTGAGATTGGTGTTTGCAGTGGTGTTCTTTCCTATACTCATTTCTAGCTTATCATTTTCCTAAAATGCACTGCCGATAATATAAATGTTGTCCAAATTCAGTACTTCAAAATATAAAACAAAACATGTCCAACCCCATAGAAATATAAAACAGGCTGGGTGCAGCGGCTCATGCCTGTAATCCCAGCACTTTGGGAGGCCGAGGCAGGCAGACCACTTGCGGCCAGGAGTTCAAGACAAGCCTGGCCAACATGGCAAAACTCTGTCTCAACTAAAAATACAAAAATTAGCTGGGCATGGTGGTGTGTGCCTGTGGTCCCAGCTACTCAGGAGGCGGAGGCACAGGATCACTTGAACCCTGGAGGTGGAGGTTGCAGTGAGCCGAGATCGCACCACTGCACTCCAGCCTGGGCAACAGAGTGAGACTCTGTCTCACAAAAAGAGAAATATATCATAAAATAAAAATGCTCACTTTCAGGTTATCTTTGAAGTACAAATTGCAAGATCTTACCAAATACCCACTTCTACTCTTTTTTTAGTTAAACTGACTTCCCAGGCTCCTCTTTTCTCCTTAATCCTTTATCTGTGCAATATAAATTATGATATTCTAATTACTTACCTGTTTAATTTTTTTCCATTAATAAACGACTCCTACCCCATTCACCGAAAAGTATTCAAGCCTCTATTCCAATCCTGCAACTTCTAATAAAGAATATAAATAAAACCAGGATGGGAGTGGTGGCTCATACCTGTAATCCCAGTGCTTTGGTAGGCTGAGGTGGGAAGATTGTTTGAATCCTGGAACCTGAGACCAGTCTAGGCAACACAGCAAGATCTAATCTCTACTAAAAATAAAAAAATTAGATGGGTGTGGAAGTATACCCCTGTAGACCCAGCAACTCAGGAGGCTGAGGCGGGAGGATCGCTTCCCGCAACTTGTAAACTTGACCCCATGAGTTCAAGTTTACAGTGAGCTATGATTATGTCACTGTACACCAACATGGGTGACACAGCAAGACAGACCTTGTCTAAAACAAAACAAACAAAAGCCTATAATCCCATAATAACTTGGCGGGTCCAAATAACTTCTATTTAAATAAAAAAAACAGTAATTTATACTACAGCTGATATTTAATGTGTTTTATGCAGGAAATACTGTAAAAATAACCAGCAGAGAATGTGATTGGCTCTAAGTAAAAACAAAAGATTTCTGTTTAAAGTTATTTCTTTCAAGTGCTTTTAAGTATGAATAAAACCTCAAAAGGTGACACTTAAGATGGCTTAACACAGACTGTCTGCTGTTGAATATAATTTGAAAGCAACCTACATAATAAAAACTTGCAATGTATAAATCACAAATAAGAGGAAACTGCTCATGAAACCTCCACTGATTCAAACCTCAATTCTGAAAAGACAGATATCCTTCTCTAACTAATTCTTTACCATATGGTAAGTGGCGCAATAACAAAAACAAAAAGCCAAGTGTCAAACTGCATCTTATTGATAAGACCTTTATTTAGCTGACTGCTCCACATATGCTACACATCAAAAGGAGAGAACGTAAGTCAGGTTAGGACAAGTACCTTCCATTTGTTATAACTAAGCTATCAAACAACATCTGGTTAACAGGAATTATTATATACAGTAGTAAGAAGAGTTTCAAAGTTTGGGTGAGATAACTGAATCAAGAGAGAGATTTTTTAAATTAAAAGTTGGCATTTTTATTAAAACCTTCTATCCAAGGATTTAGAGCTGTACAAACTCTTAACTAAGCCTCACAAGTAAGTTACCTATAATTTTGGAAGTCACCGCTTTGTATCCTGTCAACAGAAAAAGATATTTAAAGAGTTAAAAGTTGTGGTTAATTAAGCAAGTGGAGCTAACCTGATAATTCTCTGTTATTTATCTCCTATAGTACAATAAAAGTCAGTAATGAACTTGGATTTTTAAGTGGCCTTCCCCTTAATTCTGGTCCCTATTGTCTTGCTCACTGCACTCATACTGAACCATTGGAAACTCCATACTGTAAGTAAGTCCACAGTCTGAATTATCCTTTCCTGAATAATCCTAGGTGATACGTGTGAAGATCACATCAGGCACCTGCGTAAAATGATATAGCACAGATATTCCCAAACCTGACCTTCAAAACTGAGCAGAAGCAATAATTCTCTCATAGAGATTTTTCTGAGTGTTTATAATTTATTTCCAAATTTGCAAAATCAAATGAGTAGGCTGTTGTAAAATGACATGGAACACTCCTCATACTCAACATAATCTTACAGAAGAAAGAGTTGTGAGAATGTCTATGAAATAAAATGTCACCAGAAAGCATGGTTCTCTATGGTTTGGGGTTGGAGGAAGGGACAGGAAGTGAAAGGCCACACTCTTTTCTGTACCCATCAGATTTAAGAAATTACTGGGTTCATGCAGAGTTCTGCTGCCGTAGGGAAACCTGTTCTGCTGATTACCATGCATAAAAGTGATGAAGATGCAAAGACTGCTAAAAGATAACACTGGGCTTAAAAGAATTTTTTTTTTTTTAACACTCTCTCACCCTGCAGAAGTTAGGACTAGGAAGGAGGAGGTAAGAAGACTATTTCTGTCAAACAAGCATACTTTCAATGTTTACATGCACAAGCACTGTGTTTATCACTTTACCAATTAAAACAAATGGATATTAAACCTGACACTTTGAAGGCTTACAATCAAACAAAAGCAAAAGTCTTTGGGGATAGATGAGGCACTAATTAATGATGGCTTGGGTAAGTGAAGAGTCTAAAAGATGAGGTTTAACAGCATAGTCTTATTTTAGCAGGCTATATGGTTATATTTAAGGAAATCACACTTAATTTCCCCAAATGTGATTTAGTTGCAACCTATCCAGTTAGTTTCCTTTTGAGAGCTGAAGTACCTGAGGCTTTGCAGAGGGTAAAGGATTTATCCACGGTCATACTAGCTAAGAACAGTGCTAAAAGTAAAAACTTTTATCACAAAGGTATCTTGTTTATTTGCTTATCTATAAAGCCCCAATACTTTCTTCCTGCACGGCAGCAACAACTGTCACCCATATTTTATCTTCTTCTAAAACTTAAGTTGAGATTTTTCCCTTTTCTAAATAAATGGTAAATGATAGTTAAACCAAAATACCTCTGTTTGCACACCCATACAATCAAAACTGAAACAAAGAAGAGCTGTGACCAGTAACACAAGGGTCAAAATGTCATCTATTTTCAGAAATTGCAGGGCTCCATACAAACCCAAGACATTTTGCAAAATGCCTTGCTCAGATATTGACAAAAAATTCAGATATATAATTTCAAAGGGAATTTTATCTGTATGTTAGATAAAATATACAATATATACTACATGTTCCTTAGCATGCAAGTAATTACAATTTCTTGTTTAATATTCTCTACCTTGCTTGTTTCTTATTGAGGAAAAGGAAGATTCAACTCCATCAGTGAGACTCTGAAAACATCTGTCTAAACTGTGGCCCTTGGCTTCTTCCCCAAAGTAACACAATAGCCACCTCGGCATAGAGAAAGAACTTGTCACCCTGTCGAAGAGTTTTTCTTTTTCCATAAAATAACATGGACTGGGCCACATGCATAGGTAACTACTTTGTGGTACTTTCCTAAACTCTTGTTATTGATACTGTTTTTCAGTAAACATGGTTTTATAACTGAAAAGAAAACAAATGCCAAGAGGTCAGAGCTAAATTTAAAATTCAGACACTTTTTTTTTTTTTTTTTAAAGAGACATAGTCTGGCTCTGTCATCCACGCTGAGGTGCAGTGGTGTGATCACAGCTCACTGCAGGCTTTAACTCCTGGGCTCAAGCAATCTTCCTGCCTCAGCCTCCCAAATAGCTGGAACTACAGGCAAGCACCACCACATCCAGCTAAAAAATTCAGATACTTTAAAATGGATAGTGGGAAACTTTCTAAATTGGAGCAAAAGAGTTGGTTTTTCCTGAATGCCAGTTCTTTCCTAGTTGTTCCCTTTGTGGCAGGAAGGACCTCAACAACTCAGTCTAACCTAAGAAGCTACAGTGATTTCCAAGTTTGTTAAGAAATTTTTTTATGAGGCCAACGAGTTGATCTTCAACCTTTCTGTGAAATTGCAGGAAATGCTGAGGCTCAAGTGACTTTCTTAAGGACATGTAAGTCAGTAAAAGATGAACAAATAACCCCAGAAGTCCTCCCACTAGTCTACACTTCTAACCGCTAGACCACACAAGTTCACATGTCTGATTCATTTTAAGAACTGAGTAGATCTTACAATTTTAAAAGACCCACTTGGATATGCTCTTCAAATAATTTTTGAAATCTGCGATAACCAAATACAAATGAAAACCAACAATTCTTCTGTTTCTAATTCATCCTTCCTTTGTGATAGTCAAGAGGAACTTTTCAACACTATTAACTAACAATTTTAGAAGAAAGCTAAAACTAAGTACCTCTAACCAAGCAAATCCTGGTATATACAGCCAAGTCAACTGACTTAGCACTTCTCTACTTAGTACACCAATGGGCGCTAGAATTAAGACAGTGGTTCCCAATTCTGCCTGCACAAATTAGAATCACTTGGGGAACTTAAAAATATACTTATGCCAATGCCCCACCCAAGACCAATGAATCAAAACCTTTGATTCAGCCATTAGTATTTTTAAAAAAAAATCTACCCATGTATTTCTAATGTATAGCCAGTGTTGAAAACAACTGATATGGAGCTCTATTGAATAAATTTGTGCAGTTCTGTTATATTTGTTAACTACACTTTTGAAAGAAATTGGATAATAAAGAAAAAGATTTGTATATGAATGTGTAGCAAAGCAGATGGTCCCAATGAGAGGTCTTACTTAAGGGAGCTTATACAAGAAAGGTATCATTATTTCTACTTGTGGGGTGTTAAGGAAGGCTTCTAAGGAGGTGGTAACATTTGAACTGGACCTTGAAGGCTAGAATAGACAGATATGAAAAGAAAATAATTTCAAGCATAGGTCAAGTGTTATTAAAGATGCTTATAGGTAGAAACAGTCAGTGGACATAATGTAAAGACATACATGAGAAATAAGGTGAATAGTTAAGTTGGGGCCACTTTAGAAGGGCCTTGAATTTCATGTAAAATTATGTGGTAGGAGCGGGGAAGTCACTAGGTTTCTGAACAAATGTCTGTCTTGATAAAAGTTAAGCTTCAGTGAGATAATTTTTAAAGCTAGAGGAAGGATGGACACAGCAAGGAGACCTACTTGGGAGGGCTATAATTGCAGCAGTCTAGGCAAGTAATGAAGGTCTGATGTGGGTTAGTAGCAGTGGGAATGGAGAAAGACAACTAAAAGGACTATGCAATTGATTAGATATGAGAGATTAAAGGAGAAGCAAAATCTGGGTAATTAGGAGAACACAAATGCCAAAAGAAAGGCATTTGAAAGGCAAAATGGGTAATTGGCTGGCAAGATGGCTGAACAGGAACAACTCTGGTCTGCGGTTCCCAGTGAGATCCATGCAGAATATGGGTTTGTCTCATTGGGACTGGCTGGACAGTTGGTGCAGTCCACAGAGGGCGAGCCAAAGCAGGGTGGGGCATCGCCTCACCTGGGAAGAGCAAGGGGTCAGGGAACTCCCTTTCCTAGTCAAGGGAAGCCATTTGGGATTGTATCGTGAGGAATGGTGCACTCTGGCCCAAATACTGCACTTTTCCCATTGTCTTCGCAACCTGCAGACCAGGAGATTCCCTCCGGTGTCTATGCTACCAGGGCCCTGGGTTTCAAGCAGAAAACTGGGTGGCCATTTGGGCAGTTACGAAACTAGCTGCAGGAGGTTTTTATTTTTCACACTCCAGGGGTGTCTGGAGCACGAGACAGAATTGTTCACTCCCCAGGAAACGGGGCTGAAGCCAGGGAGCCACATTGTCTGGCTCAGCAGGTCCCACCCCCACGGAGCCAAGCAAGCTAAGATCCAATGACTTGAAACTCTCACTGCCAGTACAGCAGTCTGAAGTTGACCTGGGATGCTTGAGCTTGGTGGAGGGAGGGGCGTCCACCATTGCTGAGGCATGAGTAGGCAGTTTTACACTCAGTGTAAACAAAGCCACCGGGAAGTTCGAACTGGGTGGAGCCCCCACTGCAGTTCAGCAAGGCTGCTGCAGCCAGACTGCCTCTCAAGTTTCCTCCTCTCTGGGCAGGGTATCTCTGGAAAAAAAGGCAGCAACCCCATTCAGGGACTTATAGATAAAACTCCCATCTCCCTGGGACAGAGCACCTGGGGGAAGAGGAGGCTGTGGGTGCAGCTTCAGCAGACTTAAACGTCCTTGCCTGACAACTCTGAAGAGAGTAGCAGATCTCCCAGCACAGTGTTTGAGCTCTGATAAGGGACATATTGCCTCCTCAAATGGGTCCCTGACACCCGTGTGTCCTGATTGGGAGACACCTCCCAGGAGGAGCCAACAACACCTCATACAGGAGAGCTCTGGCTGGCATCTGATAGGTGCCCCTCTGGGATGAAGCTTCCAGAGGAAGGAATAGGCAGCAATCGTGGCTGTTCTGCAGCCTCTGCTGGTGATACCCAGGCAAACAGGGTCTGGAGTGGCTCTCCAGCAAACTCCAGCAGACCTACAGCAGAGGGGCCTATTAGGAGGAAAACTAACAAACAGAAAGGAATAGTATCAACATCAACAAAAACGATGTCCACTCAGAGACCCCGTTGGAAGGTCACCAACATTAAAGACCAGGCGTAGATGAATTCACAAAGATGGGTAAAAACCAGCGCAAAAAGGCTAAAAATTCCAAAAACCAGAACACCTCTTCCAAAGGGTCACAACTCCTTGCCAGCAAGGGAACAAAACTGGTGGAGCATGAGTTTGATGAAATGACAGAAGTAGGCTTCAGAAGGTGGGTAATAAACCCCTCCGAGCTAAAGGAGTATGTTCCAACCCAATGCAGGGAAGCCAAGAACCTTGAAAAAAGATTAGATGAATTGCTAACTAGAATAACCAGTTTAGAGAAGAACATAAATGACCTGATGGAGCTGAAAAACACAGCACGAGAACTTAGTGAAGCATACACAAGTATCAATAGCCGAACTGATCAAGCAGAAGAAAAGATATCAGAGACAGATCAACTTAATGAAATAAAATGTGAAGACAAGATTAGAGAAAAAAGAATGAAAAGGAATGAACCAAGCCTCCAAGAAATATGGGACTATGTGAAAAGACCAAATCTATGTTTGATTGGTGTACCTAAAAGTGACGGGGAGAATGGATCCAAGTTCGAAAACACTCTTGAGGATATTATCCAGAGGAAGTTTCCCAACCTAGCAAGTCAGGCCAACATTGAAATTCAGGAAATACAGAGAACACCACAAAGATATGCCTTGAGAAGAACCCCAGGACACATAATTGTCAGATTTGCCAAGGTTGAAATGAAGGAAAAAATATTAAGTGCAGCCAGAGAGAAAGGTCGGATTACCCACAAAGGGAAGGCCATCAGACCCCACAGCAGATCTCTTGGCAGAAACCCTACAAGCCAGAAGAGAGTTGGAGCCAATATTCAACATTCTTAAAGCAAAGAATTTTCAACCCAGAATTTCATATCCAGCCAAACTAAGCTTCATAAGTGAAGGAGAAATAAAATCCTTTACAGACAAGCAAATGCTGAGATTCTGTCACCACCAGGCCTGCCTTACAAGAGCTCCTGAACAAAGCACTAAACATGGAAAGGAACAACCAGTACCAGCCACTGCAAAAACATACCAAATTGTGAAGACTGCTGAGTCAAGATCCATTGATGTTTTGTATTCAGGAGACTTATACAAAGACATACATAGGCTCATAATAAAGGGATGGAGGAAGATTTACCAAGCAAATGTAAAGCAAAAAAAAGCTGGGGTTGCAATCCTAGTCTCTGATAAAACAGATTTTAAACCGACAAAGAAGGGCATTACATAATGGAAAAGGGATCAATGCAACAAGAGCTAACCTAAATATATATGTACCCCATACAAGAACACCCACATTCACAAAGCAAGTTCTTAGAGACCTACAAAGAGACTTAAGACTCCCACACAATAACAGTGGGAGACTGTAACACCCCACTGTCAATATGAGACAGAATGAGACAGAAAATTAACAAAGATATTCTGGACTTGAACTCAGCTCTGGACCAAGCTGACCTAAGAGACATCTACAGAACTCCACACCAAATCCACAGAATATACATTCTTGTCACTACCACATTGCACTTACTCTAAAATTGACCACATAATTGGAAGTAAAACATTCTTCAGCCAATGCAAAAGAATGGAAATCATAACAAATAATCTGTCAGACCACAATGCAAACAAACTAGAACTCAGGATTAAGAAACTCACTGAAAACTGAACAACTGTATGGAAACTGAACAACCTGCTCCTGAATGACTACTGGGTAAATAATGAAATGAAGGCAGAAATAAAGATGTTCTTTGAAACCAGTGAGAACAAAGACACAATGTACCAGAATCTCTGAGACACATTTAAAGCAGTGTGTAGATGGAAATTTATAACACTAAATGCCCACAAGAGAAAGCAGGAAAGATCTAAAATCAACACCCTAACATAATTAAAAGAACTAGAGAAGCAAAAGTGAACAAATTCAAAAGCTGGCAGAAGACAAGAAATGGCTAAGATCAGAGCAAAACGGAAGGAGACAGAGACATGAAAAACCCTTCAAAAAAATCAATCCAGGAGTGGTTTTTTGAAAAGATGAACAAAATAGATACACTGCTAGCCAGACTAACAAAGAAGAAAAGAGAGAAAAATCAAATAGATGCAATAAAAAATTTTAATGGAGATATCACCATGGATCCCACAGAAATACAAACTACCATCAGAGAATATTATAAATACCTCTATGCAAATAAACCAGTAAATCTAGAAGAAATGGATAAATTCCTGGACACATAGACCCTCCCAAGACGAAACCAGGAAGAAGCTGAATGCCTGAATAGGCCAATAATATGTTCTGCAATTGAAGCAGTAATTAATAGCCTACCAATCGAAAAAAGTCCAGGACCAGATGGATTTACAGTCTAATTCTACCAGAGGTACAAAGAAGAGCTGGTACCATTCCTTCTGAAACTCTTCCAAACAATAGAAAAAGAGGGAATCCTCCCGAACTCATTTTATGAGGCCACCATCATCCTGATACCAAAACCTGGCAGAGACACAACTAAAAAAGAAAATTTCAGGCCAATATCCCTGATGAACATGGATATGAAAATCCTCAAAATAAAATTTGGCAAACGGAATCCAGCAGGACATCAGAAAGCTTATCCACCACGATCAAGTCGGCTTCATCCCTGGGATGCAAGGCTGGTCAACATATGCAAATCAATAAACATAATCCATCACATAAACAGAACCAATGATAAAAACCACATGATTATCTCAATAGATGCAGAGAAGGTCTTTGACAAAATTCAACAGCCCTTCATGCTAAACACTCTCAATAAACTACGTATTCATGGAACATATCTCAAAATAATAAGAGCTATTTATGACAAACCCACAGCCAATATCATACTGAATGGGTCAAAAACTGAAAGCATTCCCTTTGAAAACCAGCACAAGACAAGGATGCCCTCTCTCACCACTCCTATGCAACATGGTATTGGAAGTTTTGGCTGGGGCAATCAGGCAAGAAAAAGAAATAAAGGGTATTCAATTAGGAAAAGAGGAAGTCAAATGGTCTCTGTTTGCAGATGACATGATTGTGTATTTAGAAGACCCCATCGTCTTCAGCCCAAAATCTCCTTAAGCTGATAAGCAACTTCAGCAAAGTCTCAGGGTACAAAATCAATATGCAGATATCACAAGCATTCCTATACACCAATAACAGATAAACAGTCAAATCAGGAGTGAATTCCCATTCTCAATTGGTACTAAGAAAATAAAATACCTAAGAATACAACAAACAAGGGATGTGAATGACCTCTTCAAGGAGAACTACAAATTACTGCTCAAGGAAATAAGAGAGGACACAAACAGATGGAAAAATATTCCATGCTCATGGATAGGAAGAATCAATATCATGAAAATGGCCATAGTGCCCAAAATAATTTATAGATTCAATGCTATCCCCATCAAACCACCCATTACTTTTTTCCAAAAAATTGAAAAAAACTGGTTTAAATTTCAATAGGAAACAAAAAAAAAAAAAAAAAAAAAGCCCACATAGCCAAGACAATCCTAGCAAAAAGAACAAAGCTGGAGGTATCACACTACCCGACTTCAAACTATACTATAAGACTACAGCAACAAAAACAGCATGGTACTGGTACCAAAACAGATATATAGAGCAATGGAACAGAACAGAGGCCTCAGAAATAACACCACACATCTGCAACCATCTGATCTTTGAGAAACCTGACAAAAACAACGGGGAAAGGGTTCCCTATTTAATAAATGGTGTTGGGAAAACTGGCTAGCATATGCAGAAAGCTGAAACTGGATCCCTTCCTTACACCTTATACAAAAATTAACTCAAAATGGATTAAAGTCTTAAATGTAAGACCTAAAACCATAAAAACCCTAGAAGAAAACCTAGGCAATACTGTTCAGTACACAAGCATTGGCAAAGACTTCATGACTAAAACACCAAAAGCAATGGCAACAAAAGACAAAATTGACAAATGGAATCTAATTAAACTAAAGAGCTTCTGCACAGCAAAGAAACTATCATCAGAGTGAACAGGCAACCTACAGAATGGAAGAAAATTTTTGCAATCTATCCAGCTGGCAAAGTGCTAATATCCAGAATCTACAAAGAACTTAAACAAATTTACAAGAAAAAAAAAACCCATCAAAAATTGGGTGAAAGATATGAATAGACAGTTCTCAAAAGAAGACATTTATGCAGCCAACAAACAGGAAAAAAAGCTCATCATCACTGGTCATTAGAGAAATGCAAATCAAAACTACAAGGAGATACCATGTCATGCCAGTTAGAATGGCAATCATTAAAAAGTCAGGAAACAGATGCTGGAGAGGATGTGGAGAAATAGAAATGCCTTTACACTGTTGGTGGGAATGTAAATTAGTTCAACCATCATGGAATACAGTGTGGCAATTCCTTAAGGATCTAGAACTAGAAATACCATTTGACCCAGCAATCCCATTACTGGGTATTTACCCAAAGGAGTTTAAATCATTCTTTTATAAAGACACATGCACATGTATGTTTATTGCAGCACTGTTCACAATAGCAAAGACTTGGAACCAACCCAAATGCCCATCAATGATAGACTGGATAAAGAAAAGGTGGCTCATATACACCATGAAATACTAAGCAGCCATGAAAAAGGATGAGTTTATGTCCTTTGCAGGGACATGGATGAAGCTGGAAACCATCATTCTCAGGAAACTGACACAGGAACAGAAAACCAAGCACCAAATGATCTCACTCATAAGTGGGCGTTGAACAATAAGAACACATGGACGCAGGGAGGGGAACATCACACATCAGGGCCTGTCAGGGGGTGGGAGAATAGGGGAGGGATAGCATTAGGAGAAATACCTAATGTAGATGATGGGTTGATGGGTGCAGCAAATCACTTTGGTACCTGTGTACTGATGTAACAAACCTGCACATTCTGCACATGTACTCCAGAACTTAAAGTATAATTTTAAAAATAGGAAAGAAAGGCAAAATGACTTAATTTCAAATTTGAGAGTTTGAAATATTTAAGGCATATAGAAATGAAGGTGTGCAGCAAAAAATAAAAAAAAATTGGGTCTACAACTTAGCAGAGATGTCAGAGCTGAAGATACCATTTTGGGGGGAGAAACACAAAAATTATTAGGATGACCAATTTTCTTTCTAAGGTAACTCTACTTTCCTTATTGATTTTTGGAAATAATATCTCACGAGTATTCTTCCAAACCTCTTGCATCCTTGCCTTGGCTTTTCTGCCTAGCAAAATGTACACCCTGAGATAAATGTTGCAATCTGCTTTCTCCACACCTACAATAGACGGCTGAAAACTACTGGTGGTATGGGGACATGGGGAAGAAGGGAACCCTGAAGGTTGATACCACTACAAATCCATGATCTGTAGCCTCATCTGGATACTTAATGTCACTTGTCAATTTTCTCTCACCCTGAATTAGCTCCTTTTCTGGATCCTCTCAATGACTACTCCATTATCATTACAGTTGACCCCTGAGCAACACAGGCATTAGGGACACTGGCCCCCTCCCCCATGCCGCTGAAAATCTGTGTATAACTTTTGACCCTCAAAACGTCTACAAATAGCCTACTGTTGACCAGAAGCCTTACAGACAACAAAAACAGCCGATTAACACATATTTTATATGTTTTATGCTTATCATATTACATAATACATAGGATATGTGTTAGATCCTTACAATGAAGTAAGCTATAGGAAAGAAAATGTTATTAAGAAAATCGTAACGAAGAGAAAATATATTTACTCCACATTAAGTGGAAGTGGATCATCATAAAGGTCTTTATCCTTGTCTTCACACTGAGTAAGCTGAGAAGGAGGAGGAAGAGAAGTGGGGTTAGTCTTGCTATTTTAAATGTGGCAGAGGTGGAAAAATATCCACATATAGGTGGACTTGCACACTTCAAACCCATAAACCCATGTTGTTCAAGGGTCAATTGTGTTTCACTCTTTATACAACCATAACTTCTTTACTCTTAGAAGAGAACCTCATACCCTACTTCATTAAAAAATGAAGTCATTAGGCATGATGTAAAAATCTCTCCCTTCTGCCTATGAATGTATCTGCAGCCATGTTTTTCTTCATTTATTTTCTTCCTGTTTCAGAAGATGTAACATTTATCTCCCATTCACACTTTTCCATCTGCCTGTGCCATGATCACATTTACTTGTGCCTCCTCTGAGACCTGTCCTGTTCCATCATGTATATCTACCTTGCATGCAGCTTCAAATTATTTTTCTTTATTAGCTCCTTCTCCATGCCCTATGCTTAAGTCTGCTTCTATCCAAAACAAATGGTTACTGTTCAATCTCTTTCCTACCCTTATCATCAGGTTCCTCAAAAGAGAAGCCTACATTTATGAACTCCACTTCCTTATGTTAACTTGGGATGCAGAGGTTCATATACTCCTTCAAATTATAAAAAGGGCTTCTATTTTTTCAAATGTGCATTTTTTTTCTTTTCCTGGGGAAGGAGTATAGATTTTATTCCCACTTTCAGCATATAACCTTATATCTCAATGTATAACCTTGGCTGCAAAGAATTAGCTAGTGGCACTTAATTTTATATGTTTGGGAATTTGATTTTGGAGCATGTAAAAGTTGTGTGTCTCAGTGTTTTAGAGCAACATTTTTCTCTGCACTGAAACCAGAATAATACTAGTTATAACCTGGCAGTTGCTTTACTCTCATGGAACATTCAGCTGATTTGTCACTCATTGCAATGAAAAACCTCTAGGTGATAAGAAACCTATAAATAGCGTGGGGCCTCAAAACTCACTGAAAAGAAAATCAGTAAATAAGTAAAATTGAAATAGTCCAGGAAATTCTATTACTGTAATGTCTTTTCACCACCACAGAAACTGCAGTTATTCAAGCAGTTTGGGGCAGTTTCTGAAGTGTTTTTGCTGCACGTGGAATTTTCAATATTAAGCCTTGTGTATTTTGATACGTTCCCCTGTCTTTTAAAGGGGAGTATACTTGAGCTGTATTAAAATGACCAACAGCCAAATCCCAAACTCATTCAAAGTGAATAGTGGGACAATGCAAACAGCCAATAGTGAGAACCAGAAAATTCCAGGCTCTTTTTCACCATTTTGGCTTTTATAATTTGCTTTAAAACTTTGTAAAAATAGTTAAGGAATAAAATGGAAGCATTTGAATTTTGCTTCCAAAAACCACACGACTTAATTTGTTAACTGGAATTATCAGAATGAGAAAAGCCAGAGGCAAGAAGAATATTTAAAAGCTGTTGAGTCTCTGTAATACACAATCTGATTGGAAATGTTTAAAGACAACAGAGAAAAAAACATAGTCGGTGATCAGGATCTTGAATTTAACAAGCACTCTTAATACACCTGGGAATAATTTTTTTTCCTCATAACTTTCATTCAAGTTTGCAAGGCTATTTTTTAAAGTACATTCAGTAAAACTAGTTAAAGGAAGAGTTTGCCTCTGGAGTAAAAAATTTCCATTAGGACCCATTAATATTTGATAAATGCTTCCAATTCAACAAACAAATATCAACATGTAAAACATTTAAAGAATTGTCCAGAATTGTGTCTGTGATGCATCAGATAAATAACTAAAAGACTTAGTGCCACCTCTAATGAGATGATATCTGTCTGGTGATTAACTGCTCTATACCCAATCTTCTATTTTTTTTTTTTTTTTTTGGAGATGGAGTTTCGCTCTTGTTACCCAGGCTGGAGTGCAATGGGCGATCTCGGCTCACCGCAACCTCCGCCTCCTGGGTTCAAGCAATTCCCCTGCCTCAGCCTCCTGAGTAGCTGGGACTACAGGCACGCGCCACCATGCCCAGCTAATTTTTTGTAGTTTTAGCGGAGACGGGGTTTCACCATGTTGACCAGGATGGTCTCGATCTGTTGATCTCGTGATCCACCTGCCTCGGCCTCCCAAAGTGCTGGGATTACAGGCTTGAGGCGCCGCGCCCGGCCCCAATCTTCTATTTTATCAGGACACAGAAAAGAGTTAAGTCCATTGAAGATAAAATCAGTTTTTGGAATAAAGTTTTGAATCAGAGAAACATTTAAAAAAGTTAAAGGGTTCACTAATTTTATAACTAATGAATTAAAAGATAATCTCATATTTACATCTAAATATGATATTTATTTTTTGTTAATTTTATTAAAGATTTTATAAAAATTATATTCGAAAAAAGGCAATGCTGGATTTGGTTAAAAGCAGCAATTCTTAGCCGGGCGCGGTGGCTCACGCCTGTAATCCCAGCACTTTGGGAGGCTGAGGCAGGCGGATCACCTGAGGTCGGGAGTTCAAGACCAGCCTGACCAACACAGAGAAACCCCGTCTTAAAAAAAAAAAAAAAAAAAAAAAAAAAGGTAGCAATTCTTTTAAGGCTAGTCATCTTTATCAGACTGTACCCACACTGGAAAATGTGAATCATTATAGAGATTACGTCTCTATAATGAAAGTCTTTTCTTTAGTCACAATAGTAAGCAACTATTTTTGTTTTTTCTTTGAGACAGAGTCTCGCTCCGCCACCAGGCACCAGGCTGGAGTGCAGTGGCGCGATCTCGGCTCACTGCAACCTCTGCCTCGCAGGTTCAAGCAATTCTCCTGCCCCAGCCTCCCGAGTAGCTGGGACTACAGGCACGCGCCACCACGCCCAGCTAATGTTTGTATTTTTAGTAGAGACGGGATTTCACCGTGTTGGCCAGGATGGTCTCGATCTCTTGACCTCGTGATCTGCCTGCCTCGGCCTCCCAAAGTGCTAGGATTACAGGTGTAAGCCACCATGCCCAGCCTCTATTATTTTTTTTTTTATGTGCAATGCAATTTTACCAGTGTTACCAAATCTGTGCCAAAGTTCATAATATCAACAATAATTTGTCCAAGTTTTTCTCATTCATTCATTATTTTGATATACTCAACAAACATTAATTGAATGATTACTAAGTGCTAGACTAAGTGCTTAGCACTAGGAAGACCAAAGTAATCCAGACAATGCCTTTGACTGCATGGAGATTATGTTTTGGTAAGAAAACTACTTCAGATTCACCTCATTTACTATAGACATCTTTCCTGGTTTAGCACTGTTTATATATTGTCCAAACACAATATTGGATAAATAGAAATTCTCTTATTCTCAGTAGAATTTTACATGTGCGCGCGCACGCACGCACACACACACACACACACACACACACACACACGTATATTTTGGTAAATTACGTTTATGTTCCTAAAACTGGTATGTGGGTCATGGAAGGTGAGAAGGCAAGGGAAGGTAAAAATCATGAATATGAGAAAATAAAGTTTAGTCACCATAATTAAACATAGGGGCTGTATAACTCAAGCTCAGAAATGCCTAAATTAATTCTCCTAGAGGAATCATTGATCTGCAGAGAAAGAGGGGTAAGAATCAATCAGAGCTAGAATGAAACTAATAATACAGTAATGAATGTAACAGTAATGAAAGTTAATAATACGGGTTTTTGGGAGCTGAAATATATAAGCTTTGGTTCGTTCACTTTTGAAATTAAGAGCAGGAGGCCAAATTGTTACCAAATAACACTGACATTTAAGGCAAGCAGAGAGAAATATGTGGCAGATACATAGGAAAGGAAAGTGGGTAAAAGGAGTTAGGAAAGAAAAAGAGGCAAATACACCTTTGATGTCATTCCCAGTCTCTTCATGGGCGACATTTCACCAGTTACCCTCTAGTTCTTCCAGCCTTGCCTGTCTAATGTCTCCCTCCCCTCTGCTACCAAAATGCTCAAACTTCCACTATCCTGAGAATCTTCTGACAATTTTTCATATCATATTGGATTATAAACCCCCTCTCCTTTCTGTTTTTGCCAACCATATGAAAATAGTCGGCATTTGCTCTGTCTAGTGCCCCAACACCATCTACTATAGCAACTTTTGCAATCTGGAAGGTTACCCACACCACCTAACTGCCAGAACCATAGCCCTTAGTCCCTATTCTCATTCTTGTTCAGCAGAGGGCAACTACTTCATATCCAGAAAGGTAGTTAACTACCTTTTTCTTGAAACTTAAACTTACTTTGGACTCTTTAACAGTGTTCTAGTTGATTACATACCTGTCTGAGGCACACTGCAGTGCATAGTGCACGTTTTGAAGTCTGATAGGGTCTGAGTCTGAATCCCAGCTCTGACTTTGGGCAAAGTTCGTGTCTTTTCAGAGTCTATTTCTTCCGTTGGTGACTGGAACACCACCACAGACCAGACTGAATTGTGAGTATCAAATGAAATAAAGTGTCTAAGACACTGTTTGCATACAGTTGGTGCTCAAAGTATGTTTCCCCTCCCTCCCCCTTTTCTGCTTTCTCAGTATTCTTCAGTCATCCTTGGCCTTGATTCAGCTGTCCCACAAAGTGCTGTCCCATCTTAACTCTGTACTTAACATCCTCTACATCTGCCATCTCTTCCATCCCAACGCTGACACCAAAATCTAGGTCTCTGATTTTCAACACCATTCTTCAGCTCCAGGTCCACATTTTCAACTCCTGTCAGGGAGCCACAGAACTGATAATCTGCCTAAATCTTAAATTGAACAGGAAGTACCAGCACTTGCAAAACAGGTATAAAACAAAATGCACTGCCTGCTGCGGTGGCTCACACTTCTAATCCCAGCACTTTGGGAGGCTGAGGCGGACAGATCACCTAAGGTCAGGAGTTTGAGACCAACCTGGCCAACATGTTGAAACCTCGTCTCTACCCAGCTACTGGGCAGGCTGATGCAGGAGAATTGCTTGAACCTGAGAGGCAGGGGTTGCGGTGAGCTGAGATCATGCCATTGCACCCTAGCCTGGGCAACAAGAGCAGAACTCCATCTCAAACAAACAAAACCAAATGCATCATCTCTTTCAATTAGTTCTTCCTACTGACTTCCCAGAAGGCACCAGTATCTTCACAGCCATCTGCCTTGATATCTTAAAATTATGTTTGACTTTCTCCAACTCTGCTAAACCTTGTAGATTCTAGAGCTATAGTGTTTCTCATCATTTGTCTCTCCCTTTTGATTTCATTGCCTCATTGCTCTTTGTTTAACTAGGCTGTTACTAGTAGAGGCTTTGAGAAAATCAATTCTATAAAAGATGGGAGCAAGATCCAGAATGCAAAGGATTAATGAGAAGCACTGGAATCACTGAGAGTAGACAAGCTCTTCAAGAAGTTTGGTATGTAAGTGGATGATAGCCTGAGGTAAAGAACAAAGGATAGGTGTATTTGTTTTACCTGTTTTGTTTTTTTAACATTTAAAGATGAATAGGCTGGGCATGGTGGCTCATGCCTGTAATCCCAGCACTTTGGGAGGCCAAGGCAGGAGAATTGCTTGAGTTCAGGAGTTTGAGACCAGCCTGGGCAACAAAGTGAGACCACCCCCCCAATCTCTACACAAATTTTTTTTTTAAAGCTGAGCATGGTGGTGCACACCGATGGTCCCAGCTACACAGGAGACTGAGGCAGGAGGACCACTTGAACTCAGGAGATTAAGGCTGCAGTGAGCTGTGACTGTGCCACTGCACTTTAGTCTGGGTGACAGAGTGAGACCCTGTCTCAAAAGAAAAAAAAAAAATAAAGATGAGCTTGGCCCTAAAAATTTTAAGTATAGTGAGACAGGCATACATTAATCAAGTAATCATACAATTAAATATAAAACTGAAAACAGGATAAGTGCTGAGAAAAAAAGTATCTAGTGTTGTGAGGGCCTATATATAGAGATACTTGATCTAGTCAGGGAAGTCAGGGAAAGTTTCTTAAGGAGGAAACACTTCCTTAAGTTCTGAAAGATGAAGAGGAATTAACCAAGTGAAGAGAGAAGATAACATTCTAGACCTGTGTCCTATGGTGGTAAAGATTATGATGAGGAAGATATGAAAGAAGGTCAGAGTGACAGGAATGCAGAGAACAAGGTAGGATGGTATGAAATGAGGCAGGAGAAGAAAGAAGGGATAGACCACAGGGGTATATAGACCAGCCTGGCCAACATGGTAAAACCCTGCCTCTACTAAAAAAAATTAGCTGGATGTGGTAGCACACGCCTGTAGTCCCAGCTACTTGTGAGGCTGAGGCACAAGAATTGCTTGAACATGGGAGGCAGAGGTTGCAGTGAGCCAAGATCATGCTACTGCACTCCAGCCTGGGCAACAGAGTGCGACTCTGCCTCAAAACAAACAAACAGAAAATCTATCTCTACAATAGACCCAACCTTTCCTTCTAGTTATCTTGCTTTCTTTTCTTTTTCTTTTTTTTTTTTTTTTTTGAGACAGTCTCACTCTGTCGCCCAGGCTGGAGTGCAGTGGCGTGATCTCGGCTCACTGCAACCTCTGCCTCTCAGGTTCAAGCAATTCTCCTGCTCAGCCTCCCGAATAGCTAGGATTACAGGTGCACACCACCACAACTGGCTAATTTGTGTATTTTTAGTAGAGATGGGGTTTTACCATGTTGGCCAGGTTGGTCTTAAACTCCTGACCTCAGGTGATCTGCCCGCCTCAGCCTCCCAAAGTGCTGAGATTACAGGCGTGAGCCACTGTGCCAGGATCATTTTTAATGAGAGGAAAAAAAATAGAAAATAAAAAAGGAAAATGGGTTGGGTGTCCTTACATAAGGACAAGGTGGGAGGATTGCTTGAGCTCAGGAGTTCAAGACCAGCCTGGGCAACATGGTGAAACCCTATCTATCTCTACAAAAAACAAAACAAAACAAAAAACCAAACAAAAATTAGCTAAGCATGGTGGCACGCACCTATAGTCCCAGCTACTTGGGAGGTTGAGGTGGGAGGATTGCTTGAGCCCGGGAGGCAGAGGTTGCAGTGAGCTGAGATTGTGCCACTGCACTCCAGCCTGGGTGACAGATAACCTGTCTAAAAAAAAAAAAAAAAATGACATAAATTAAAATTGCATTTAATTTTATCTTAGGCACAAAGTGAATGTCCCCAAATTTGAAAAACCAAGAGGCATGTGAGGCTAGTCTATTAAAGTACTTCTAAGAGAAACAAAAAAAGTAGACAAGAAGAATATACCATTAAGAAGTATGTCATTATTAACTTTCCATTTCAGAACTACTACCTAGAAAACTGAGATAAAAACTTTGATTATAAGAGACTATGACAGCCAAATAAAATAAAATGTTTTTCTTATAACAGATGGTTTATGTCCTGTTAATGTTTGCATTTAGTACTTTAGGTTTACCCATTAATAAGGAAGCAGAGATGCTTTCCACTGATATTTCTAATTCAAAAGAAAAAAGTTCTTTGTAATTCACTTTGTGGTGATATATTACACATAGATTTGCTTAAAGGGCTAGGCTATAGAGACTTTACAACTTTATATCTAATTCCTGTTTGTGACAGATCTATAGAACTGCTTAGCAGATGAATGTTGGGAAAGTTTTTCTTCATCATTGTTGCTATGTAACAATTCTATCAAAATGGTGTGTCCAGCTTTTTTTCAATACTTTTAAGATTGAAATGTAATCAACTATGTCCACACACAATGTTTATCACACCCTTGTACTGCAGAACCCTGATGCTGGGGTAACAGTGCCCTTAAGCTTCATGGTTCCTAGCTCTCAGAGAGCTCAGTTAGGATGTGATGATGGCACTGTCAGATCTAGGGACTGGCTCCTAAAATCAGGGCTGCGGTGGCCAAGGGCCAACTGCTGCTAACTGCCATCATCACTAACACTGCTGCTGCTTGGGATGGTGAAGCTGGAGTGCATATCTTTTTGTTCAGGATCCTTGGTGACTTTTAATGTGGAGTATGGCCTGAAGGTGGTGACACTCAACTACTTAAGAATAAAAAAAAGAGTAGGATTATAAAACTGCCAAAGATATAGGAAATTCTGTGGGGAAAATTATTGTAGATATTTGGCTTTGATTAAAAATTTAAACAAGTATTATTTCTTTAGAAATGTATCTAGATTCCCATATAGCTCTGTTGGCTGAGAGTAAAGTTATTTCAATGTAAGAATATGTTTTTCTTATATAAACTCTCAGCAATAAGTATGGGAATGTATAGAAATAATCTAATTATTGTTTAATCCTCAGTAAACAGGTAAATACTTAAGCTTCACAATAACAAAGGTGATAGGATAGTAAATATCATAAGATAAACAAATTCAAGATTTATATAAGCAAGAAACAAAAATGAATTTTATGGATACTGAGGAATCCAAAAGAATACCACTAGCTACTGTTCAGACATTTCATAGTTTTCAAATTGAACACTATGAACACCATGACCTTTGTTTTTAGCTCGTAAGTACTCATTTTGCGTGTGTAGCAGAAATTCCTAAAACATAAGAAATTGATGTTACAAGTCCATGAAAGTCTAAAATCAATTAGAATAGGCATATTTAAGTTTTGGGAAAACTGCATATGTAAGCCTTTAAAATGACTACTGAGTCTGAATCAAGATGAGATAACCTGTAAAGTTCAATCTTTGGAGCCCTCATACGTTGCTAGTGGAAATGGAAAATGATACAACCACTGTGGAAAATACTTTGGCAGTTCTTTAAAAGGTTAAACAGAGTTATTATATGACCCAGCAATTCTACTCCTAGGTATATACCTAAGAGAACATAAAACATATGCTCACACCAAAAATCTGTACATTAATGTTTATAGAACTGTTATCCATTAAATACCAAAAACTGGAAATAACCCAAATGTTTGTCAACTGATGAATAAACAAATGTGGTATATCCATACAGTGGAATATTATTTGGTCATAAAAAGGAATGAAGTACTGTTACATGCTACAAAATGGATCAATCTTGAAAACATGTTAAGTGAAAGAAACCAGATACAAAAGGCCATATATGATTCCATTTATATGAAAAGTTCAGAAATAGATAAATCTGTCAAGACAGAGATTGGGACTGAACTAATAAATAGAAGGTTTCTTTTTGGGGTAACAGAAATGTTCTGGAATTAGATAGTGGTGATGGTTCTATAACATACTGAATATACTAAAAACCAGTGAATTATATATTTTGTGTATTTTAAAATGGTGAACTGTATATGAATTTTATCTCAACTTTAAACAGTCCAATTAAATATAAAAATTCCATAATTATAAGGAAATATAAAAAAGCAATTTCAATGATCTTCTAATATGGTCTCAGATACCTAAAATTAAATTGGGACTGTTAAGGGAAAGAGTTGGGAATACTTGTAACCAATAAATTTCTAAGGAACCATCTCTTTGTTTTTCATGGTGTGTTCACAATTTTTTCTGAGGAAATTAGTGATAGGCAGCCTTTAAAAAAACAGCCTGCTGAGGCAAAAAGCCTTAGCCACATCTTTCCATTCAGGTCTGGTAGCCCTAGGGAAGTGACTCTCCAGAGTATCTATCTGTATGATGGTTACCTAAAGTGGCTGCCCATGTCCAGTGATGGCTTTTGTTTAGTGATCATGGTCAAGTTGAGCTTGTTTAAATACCATTTCCCAGGACTTACATGCTACTCCCTGAACGACAGGAATACTCAAAGCTTTTAGAGGGAATAAACTATTGCATGGTCTCTGCCTAGGAAGGAGGCCACAGTTCACTGGAAACAGCCAGTTCAGATAAATAAAATGAAAGCAGACATTTTTGGAGATGGTCTTGAAAGCTTTCCATTAAAGAACATCAAGGGCATAGAACTAGGAATAACATATATCCATGTTAGACTACTACAAGTCACTTTATCCTCTATCCTTTCTGAGTAATACAAAGTATTTATCTCCTTCATTGGATGACCAAATAATTCACACAGAACACAACACGTACCTCTCTCCCTGGCCACCAAGAGACATCTGAGTCCTATGCTACAATGAACCGTAGACCATCAGAATAGAAAGTAGTGGCCTATTTAAAAAGCTTTTATATTCAACTTAGGTGGAAAAGTTACATTTTAAGTATAAGCACTCTTGAGGAAACTTGATTCCCATTTCTGGCATATGGGCTGCACATGAAAGAAATTAGGCCAGTTAAGCTGCTTCTCTATAGCCTTCTATATGTCTTCATTTTGGCTGCCAATTTTGGTCTGGACATTTCCCTGTATTTCTCAGTTTTAAGTTACCATTGGCACAGTCCACTCTTGTGTTACAGACTCAAATATACTGATAGAGGTCACAGAAGACTGGGGAAGACTAAGAGCAAAGGGAAGAGGGAAGGAGTAAATGGGACAGAAGCTGAGCAGTGTGTTCTATGGCTAGAAAATCTCATAATACCAGCTAAATCTTCTCAAAGAAGCTATTCTGAATACTGTGACCATGATGAAAAGTGATTCTT